ATCGCTGTAGGTCTGCCCGGATGACGTTATCGATACAGTAATTTAATTTGGAGGGACGTGAATGTGCCTCCAAGGGCGTTCTTCTTGGCCGCGCGGTGGGCGTCTTCCTGCAAATATTGTTCTTTCGCTATATATGAACGATCGATACCGCATCGATTCGCATATAAATAAATTACTATCTTGAACTGGGTGTATTAGTTTTCGGGATATATGAGTTTGTTCGGTTATTGTGGGTGGTCACATCTTTGAATTATAACTAGACCTTTCAACAGATTTACACTCCAAAGCAAACCACATTGGAAATTGTGTAAATCGATTTATTTAACAAACTGAATCTAATATTTGTGTACTATGTCTCGATGTAGTATATTTTACTTTAAAATTACCTTGTAAGTAAATAGGATTAACGAGATGTTTGAAGTAAACAGATCGAGAACACGCAAAGGTAATTATTAATAATTAAATGTTCCCGTAAAACCGCGCTACCGTCGCGATGGAAAACGGCGCGCGAATGCCTTTCGTTTTCCACCAAACATAAACATTTCGAATAAATGGTTCCCCTAATGAAACGAGAACAAAAACGGTAACGTATAATTTAATTAATGCCCCTAGATCTTAGTCGAGATACGACCGGGTTACGCTACTAACACAGCGTGATGTCCGACCTCGCAGCTCCGCCCGATATATAACAAATATATAAAAATTTTACGGCCTCTTAGATATGCTGAAGATATGAAACATAATCACAATATTTTATGATCGCGACCATACAACCGGACTTACCTTGTTTTTATTTGTTGTGGTCCATATCATAATCTTTCTTTTACTCTTACTATTTAGCATAGGTACTGTTGTATTTTCAGAATTCTTTTGCTTTATTTTTCTCTGTAAAAGTCTTATAGATCGTCTTAAAACATAAAGTGTTAGCTTTTATTTGGTATATAAATCGGTTTTTAATTCCTAAAAACAAACATATGATGGTATTTTCAAAGTTTTGTTTTTGACATGTTATGAAACTTAAAAATTAACAATTTCACTTCAGCAGTACATTCTCAATGATCAGTATACTACTTGTTCGCACAGTTATACCACCATAAATTGATTTATACGACATAAACTACGTGTCAAAAAAAGTGCATCACTTCAAAAAAGCTGAGTACCAAAGCTAAAATCTTTACAAGCAATTTGTATTCATTCCAGTAGTAAATTATAACAGCTGAAACAAAAAAAAACAACAATTTATGTCAATAAAATTGTTTATGCACATGTTGGTTATGTTCTTCAGACCACGCAGTCCATGCTTGAAGCACTGTTGAAGGGTTTCAATTCAATCTTCAGCCAATTTCACGAAACGAAATATCTATATATAATATAAACCGCGGTCTTCTACCAATTCTAGGCATTGCTAACAATCGAAGAAACAACGTTCACTCATCAAATGACATTTACTTTGTGATGCAGTTTTTAACTTTGCTGTTCCAGATTGTCTGTATCATAATAAAAAAACATATAATAACTTACAATTCTTTGTGTAGCGATATGATGTTTTATCATCGACTTTTTATATGCATCCGATTGTTTTGTTAAGATTCCAGCTTGGTGACTAATCTTGGGTCTATCGAGCTTAATATACAATAGTTACATTAAAAATTAACCTTAGAACAATGAAACAAAAGTAAGCTCGGTTACTTCGTTTACTAGAAGAAGTAGGAGCTTCAGTTGAACAAATACATGGAGCAAGAACAGATAGAGATATCGGAAATGTGCTTCCACTGTGAAAATGTCATCAGATTCCTTGTTTCATAGGAAGAGACGGATCTATATGAAAAGAAGACCGCTTACATCAAAATGTGCTACATCGTAAATGTAACTTAGTTATCAGATATGAGTATGTAGTAATCAGCATGTATCTGGGTGTCAGACACTTTGTAATACGTTTTGTTTCTATATTTTCCAGAAGTAATGTTGTAAATAATACATCCTTTGGTACTATAAAGTTAAAAATGTTATTGCAAAATTCAAATATTCATGGTGTCATAGAGGCAGGTAACTAACAAAGCTAGTCGCCAAAATACCAAAATTAACAAGAATATGTCCTGGAAATTGGATCTGTTAGAATGGGAAAGGCTAATAGCCAACAATTCGGATATAAAAGTGTGGTTAATTATATTGCAATAATCAGAAGCATTGCATGTGTTTATGTATCACGTAAAGGTAATTAGAGGTGTAGGGCTTAATATTAATCATTTTAATACGAATAAAATTACCGGTAGCAGATTTACTCAATATGAACTTTGATAACCAAATATCGACAATTTTGTCAATTTCACTTAATGTAAATATGTATCGCCTCGTCGAAACATAAATGTTTTTGAATAGATGTTTTCGTCGTAGTTGTAGAATTATTGCATACGCTCACAAAAATGTGTTCTTCTTACACAGTCATCTTATGGATGATACTTTACGGTTTTCAATGTATGAACATTGCTATAATGATTGCAACATTGAGATAAATTATTATCTGTCATTGTGTGGAAGGTTCTAGAAGGCAGAATGTCAGATTAATACCTCGACTGAAATGAGATGACAGCAACCCTATATACCTGATTTTTTCAAAGACTTACTACCGATCTGAGGAAAATGAATGAGTACCATCAACATCGATATAAAAAAGTGAATACCAGATACTAGTTTCGGCGATGGTCCTCTGCATACCAATACTATCCACTACTCATACAACAACTCATATACGACCTGACGTAATTCTAGCTCACTATTACATCAAGAAGCGAATTTACAAGCAGACACTGAAACGAATCAAGCATGAATAAAATATTGAGAAGGATCCTCCGGATTCTAAGCCTTGCCACAACCACGATATGGTTCTTTCGTTGGCAACTACGACTTCCCAACACAATTTTCCTTGTCGACAAGCTTTTCTGCATGCATACTACCTGTGTAAAGGATTATTACATCTTTGCGTTGATTAGTCTAGGTCTCACCAGAGTTTTATATATTGTCAGCTTTATATTTTTGCAAGCTTGCTTGTGAAGTGTACTACCTGATAACTGAGGAGCCGACATGTTTGTACTTGTCACATTCTCAGAGGAATAGCAGTCATTCGCAATGGCAGCTATATTTGTTATGAAGACTTCTCCTGCAATCATTTACGTCATTCATATAGGCAATTGAATTCCTAATAACCTTCTGCATGGACCTTCCACAAAACGATAACCAATTAGTTCCTTTCTTTATATTTATCCCTGTTGTTTTAATTTCTTGTACTGCCAGATATTTGTGTTCCTCATGCCCCCTTCTATCAAGTTTTGTAGATCTTCGGCTTCGAACATTATGTCTTGGTTTTATAAGGTTCCCTTTGTGAGAGGCAGTGCTTTACAGAAATTTCTTAAATCGATCTTTTCTTCTCCAATCTTACCATTTTACCTTGCAGCTGTTCTCTCCTCTGTTTCCACTGTACCTATCCTTTCTATTCACCTCTTCCATTTCCTTCTCAGCTTTATTCTTAGCGTTATATTCTTCATCATATCATTAATTTCTCTTGGTTGCTCTCTAAACGCTGTTTTGTACATGGTTTCAACGATGTCTTGTATTTTTGCCTTTGGTTGTTCATACTTTCTTCATCGTATGTGTCAATTTGTAACCTGTTGAGACTACTCTTAAGCTATTTCGGAGCTTATAGTCGTGGTATATTATATCTAGATACCTTTTTATTTTTGTAGATGTTAATAAAACTTTTGCTTGCAATTTACGGCATTGTATCACTAATAGAATGTGGTCTGACTTCATGTTGACTCCTCTATATGATGAATGTGAGCCATCTGGCGATCTCCAGGAGGCCTTATGTTAGAAGAAGGTTGTTCCTACCAATAACAAGCATTGTGTGAAACTTATCGTATCTAATATTATATAAAATATTATATTAGAATGCAAACCTGGATGATATTGCTGACAAAGTAGAGTTGCAGAAATTTGCACACCTCTAAAAAATTAAGTTGAGTTGTTAGAAATAACCCCAAAACTAGAAATTCCGTATAATGCAGCATTTTCATTACATATTTTTTAATAGAATTGAACACTTTTCATAAATACCTAAATAATATAAGCTACTCTTTAAAAGAAATCTTTTGTGCATCTTACAAGACTTAACCGTTGAAAACATTAGAAAAGACCATAACAAAACGTTGCAACGACGAGAAAATAATGCTTCAGGTTAAAACTTATCTGATATGCAATAATTATGATAAATAATTATAACGTATAATAAATGATACACAAATATAGATATGAATATTAAAATAAATGATAATACCATTCAAATTTATTTATCGAAAAATATTCCTTTTTTAAGAGACTTGCTAAAAATAACTGAAACAATGTTTAATATTAGTTAATTTCTGTATTCTAGATTTAAAAACATTAATTTCAAGTGATTACATCTGACAATAATCGCCTGATATATTTTTTTCCATCCGAGATAACTTCGCAGGTGTTCCGTTTATATTTATCTAAGAAATATTATATTTATAGATTAAATAAAAATCGAACCATTTTTTCAACAAGCATTAACATAGAAAATTTATAACATTTATTTTTATTTAAACAAAATCAAAGCGATAACAGATCTTTGGTATAATCAAAAACAAGGTTTGTAACGTGCTCTAAAAATTGACATTCTAGCAAATGTAAGTACAGATAACCATCGCGACGCCATCTCGACCAACGCATGGAAAATATCGTGGACAAAACGACGCCGTTTTTCCTTAAGCGTCGCTTCTAATGAGTGCGTAAACAAGATTTGGCCGGATCGCTCGTAATTCGAGCCGTTTGCACAGCAACTTTGTCCGCGAATAAAGTGTAACGTTTAACTGAAGCCATTATTGTGTGCGGTGGGTTGTGAGCATCTCTACCGTCTCCGTGAATGATTCGCCGACGATAATAATCGCGTTTTGTTTACGATAATCGAGAAGTTTGTTACTATGTTCAATATAAAAACATAGACGTAGTGAAACACACCTGCTTGGATATCAATGCCTTAAATAGTCTTATCTCATTTTTAGAGGTTTAAACTTTTTTATAGAAGATTAAAATTTACGCAAGGATAAATAAATAAAGTAATATTTCTAGATGTAATATATCTTCAAGCAGTATTTCCTTTGGGGAGATGTATTTATTGCTCATCTCTAGAAATACCACATGCGGAAACCAATTTGTATACAACTGTTATTAAACACTTTTGTCATTGTCCGCGGGTGGACGTTCGCCGTTTAATTAAAATATGTTAATATCGTCGCGTTTTTTAGACGCGTTCTATAAAATCGTACATCATTTATAACTGGAGACGTTCTTGGATGGTTGGGGTCACGACCCCCCGATATGTGGCACACGGCGCCTCTCCTAATACCGAATGGCGCACCTTCTTTACCCATCTGTTAAGACGCGTTAAATATTATCAAACATTAACAATATCGAAGGGGTATCCTCTACTCACGACTCTATAACATGCTTTTACTAATATGGGGTTCACACGATTTAATTTTTCTTAGTTAATCTACAAAAATGGATTTAAACAGAGATAGAAAAATAAAAAGAACTTTTTGCAATCTATACTACTCATAAAATTGCTTATAAAAATATCATATTTATCAATTTTCAAAATTTGCAAGTTCATTACTTACTTACTTTAGTTACCTTATTACTTTATTATATATTCTTTAGGGCCTGTTATATATAATGTGACATATTTATAATTACCGAGCAGGTTCTACAGAAAATTGTGCTATAATTTCCTCAGCATCTAAAACATTCAATTGATAAAGAAGTCTTTATTGTTATATCATAAAGGAATGATCAGTAATGTCTAAATTGAACCTAGGGTCTACTGCTATTAAAATAGGTGACTATATTTTGGGAATAACAGCGAAAGAGTGATCGAGAAATAGCTCAGGAGTGCATCACACACACCTGATATTTTGCAAAGAAAAAAATCGTAACAAAAGACCGTTTCTGAGATCAGCAGATTCTAGAAATCTTTGAAGCAAGAAATATGTTTCTTAAACATTTTTTGCATTATAGAATACGTATTGTTTATTTTTTTTTAGATTTTATTATTTTAACAATTTCCAAATCTGAATCAAAATTGTTATTACGTAATTAAGTTTAGTAATATTGGTATCTTACAATAACAACATGATACTTTGATGGCCAATGGAGACCAGTTATAATGAAGATTTTATGGTTCCTATAGATTTAAGTAACTTGTCACAATATAAGACAGTTTACTTATATATTAAATTTTTCGATTCAAATTTATTCTAAATCTTGTAAATCTTGTATTCATAAATATTAAAGAATATATATATATATATATATATATATAGGCAATACAATTTACAGGAATCACTGGTCATAATTGAGTATAAATGAATTATGCTGCTTATCTCAATCGCTATCAAAGTTTAACTCTTAAAAACTCAATATAAATTGATGTCATAACTTACCAGTAATGTACATCCAACACGATAAATAACGGGAACCTTGAATATTATATTATTTAAAGTATGTTAAATAAAAAACATGTTTAATCAATGGAAGTGTTAAGCATTCCTACCGTTTTATTAACACATGTGATTCATTACTTTGGAGAGCAACTGACACAAATAATTCTTGTGTTGAGTGTTCACTACAAACATTCAGATTCCAGCACTGTTTTAAACTTCTCGAAATTTTTGAATGATAAGTAAGTAATGGAATGATAAGTAGTTTTTCATAACTAAGTTTTTTCTTCTGAGGCTGAGTTAGTTGCTTGAACTAAAATTTGTAATTGATTAACGCCTGTATCATCTTGTAACAAACCGTTTTGGAGCTTTAAAGCGAATAGGTACTTTGTACATTGTAAACGTGTCCGCTGAACACTTATGGGTTGTTAAGGGTGAATAGCCTTCCGAATGTAGTCCTTTACAAATTTCTAATTACAACATGGTGCGTCCTGTAAAGAATGGGGGCTTTATCGTATCCAGTAATATATTCGTGTATGTATCTTACCTATTTTAAGGTTATATGTTCCCATATAACCTGAAACGAAACGTAAGCCTATAATTTTACTGCTTACTCAGCTTACTGTATCTGATTTTTCTTGCTTTTTTCAACTTAGAGATCGTCCTGTAGTAGTTGTTTTTCTTTCTTCAACATTTTCACTTAGTATGTTCTTCTAGCTCCCAGGAAAATGTATGAATTGTGGACATTATTGGAATTTATTGGTGCATCATCACCATAATCGGAGTATCAAAGCATAGCCTTTTAAATTATTCAGTACTCTACATCTCCCTGCACACGAATCCAATGATATCCACGCTATCTCTTCCCTCTATTATCTCCTCGAATTAGAAACATTTTTTATGTTCCCCGGGTAGCCAGTACCATCATCTATGATTGTTCGCCAAGATCTACCGCGAATGTAAAAAAGTCATACATCCACCCCTCGTAATTATGAAGATGTAGTACTCACGAATGCCGAACCGCTTTGCGCTGCATACAGCTCAGGTATGAAGAGTACCACAACAAGAGTCATAACACCCTCTAAATACAGGGTGCGGCAACATAACTTCCTTTTTTCAAAACTTAATAGAACCTATTGTATGAATCAGAAAATTTTTATTTGTTTTTTATAATGTAGGCACATACATAAAGTTTTGTTTTACACAGGTTTGAACATCAAATCAGGTAGGTGACGTCCCCCATTATCTATACACTGAGTAAACCGATTTCTGGTGTTTGTCATGACTCTTGCCAGTATAGCAGGGGTTATGTTGGTAATTTCTTCCTGGATGTTGGACTTCAAACCTTGTAGGGTCCTTAGACGGTTCATATAAACACAGGATTTCAAAAAACCCCATAAGAAAAAATCACAAGGGACCAAATCGGAAGACCGGGTCGGCCACTCCAAATCGCCCCTAATTGAGATTAGGCGTTTTGGCATTTTGAGACAACTCAAAACAGCCATCGATGCTCTTGAAGTATGAGTCGTTGCACCGTCTTGTTGGAACCAACTGTCCCCTAAGTCCAACTCATCTAGCCGTGGTGATCGCAAGACTAAAACTCTCACAGCCTCAATGTTCTCAGGTGCTCTAATGGGTCTCTTTGTCTTGTCGCACTTGCAGTTTGTCTGAACGTAGTGACCCACGTAACAATTGATTTCCGATCCGGGGCAGAGGCCAACAGGGCTAAATTAAAGCGATTCCGAAAGGCGCACTGGATTACGATCACAGAATATCCGCTCGAAAAGTAGGCCTCAACGGAAAACGTACGCTCCTCACTGTTCCAACGCATGATGGCGCCTGAACTTTATCGGAACAAAACTTTATAGTCCACCCTTTCGAACGAGAGCACTCTGCTACGACATCAACTGACTAAATGACACACATTTAAAAAAAGGAAGTTATGTTTCCGCACCCTGTACTTTATCATAAATACGCTTTTACAACATCGTTCATTTACATAATGTCCTTTAACACAAACCAGAGGATGGGATACCAACGATCGCGTTTTATGGGTCAGGGGTATGTAGTATGTAAACTGACCAACCTCGCATACTACGCAACCTTACCCTATCCGCCTCGTTTATTAAATCAAGTGTATACTGGAATGTGAGGTAGACTTGAGTATGAGAGGCTACATAGACTATAGTGTAGATTTCTTCACTGTTAGAAGCACTGGGAAATGTGAATTTACCGAATGATCCATTTTCTTATGGTGAAATCTTTTAACGCTGAAGCAAATCAATGGAAACCAACAAGAAATTTGAAATTTGAGTACTACTTGTGAGGGTACAAAAAATGCAGAGAAGCTTGATGATGGTAATTATCCACTCCTGTATAATTTACTTTAGACTCTATAAAATAACTCCTCATCTCAATATTCTGAGACAACATTTTTAATCAAAAATTATTTCAGGATGATTGATAAAACATTAGTGTCATTCATACTACAGTTCAAACAATATATACTCTGTGTAATATTACTATATCTGAAATGAAAGGACAAAGAATAAGAATCTGAAACAGTATCTACAAAAGTGGTGATGTAGATTCAAAAATTATTTAAAAATTAATATACTCTGTACACTGTGATTATGATAGTTCCATCGATAGAACTCACACTTAGTACTTTTTGGAGCAACAGAAAAATAAGCTGTCATTTATTTCATTTAAAGACAAATGTGATGTTACGAAGAGAAATTCACGTGATCAATTATGGAATATAACAAATATAAAAATTATACTTACATATCAGGTATTTATTTCTTTATTTAAAGATTATTTCAAAATATACTTTCATTTTGCAGATTAAATGAAATCGTTGTACTTATGACTAAGGAAGAGTTTTATTTTTTAAATCTGATACGTTCACTGCTGACTCTGGTGTTCCACAGGGGTCCAACCTGGGTTTCCTTATTTTCAATGTTTATCTAAATGATCTATTACGACGACTTGATAGTAATGTGCTTGCTTACGCCGATGACTTAAATATATTCGCTCGTGTAACATCCCCTGAAGACTGTGTTATCTTACAGTGCAATCTGAACATTATCATTTCCTGGTCTGTACAGAATGGAATTGATCTGGATATAAGAAAATGCGTTGTCGTATCTTACACAAGGTGTAATAACCCAATAACGTTTAACTATTGTGTAGGAGTTGAAGCAATCTGCAGAGAATGCGCTATTCGAGATCTGGTTGTCTTATTCGATGACCAGTTGCAATTCAAAGACCATGTTGACAGTATAATAAAGTCAGCCTGTGGTACATTGAGTTTTATCATCAGACAGTACTTAACACCGCATTAACAGTACTTTTCTATGCGTTTGTTCGTACAATATTGGAATATGGTTCCTTGGTTTGGTATCCTTATTATACTTCTCACCAGCTCATGCTTGAGAGAGTGCAGAAGAGGTTCTTAAAATAGTTACATTTTAAAACAGTTGGTCAGTATCCGGAGCGAGGTGTTGACTACGTTGCGTTATTGGAAGAATTTAACTTTTCATCTTTGAGCAATCGTAGAAAAGACGCTAGTAGACAATTTTTATCGAACAATCGTCAATTATACTGTCGACTCGCCTTCACTTCTTGCCCGAATTGGAATTATTATACCCAAACGTGGTATCTATTTTTTATTCTATTTTTGTTGATCATTATCCTGTAATTGAGTCTTCCTGTTAGATAATAAAGAGATATTATTATTATTTTTAAAGCTTTCATTGGCGAGCCCCTATGTCTTTCTACAAAACTTAGTACGAATACACAATAAAATTTAGCTTTGTTGAGAACACTCTACTAAAGAACATTACATGCGAAGGTGTTAATCCGTGTTAATCCTGGGATATTTCGAGATTATACTAATACTTTATCTTATCAGAAATGATTTCTGATGCACCTTCTTGAATATTAATGTAGCGATTTCAGAAAATAAAATGAATAATATTAATATATTGTAATATTATAATAATATAAAGAGCTAAGTCACAAAGTTGAAATTTTTACAAGTAATTTGTATTTATTTCAGTAGTAAATCATAACAAATGAAAAAAAATACAAACAATTTATGTCAATAAAATGTTACATCCCCACGATTGTTTATGCACTGTCTAACTCTGCGAGGCGTGGTCTGAATTTCATCCCAGGCTTGATGTAGATGACGAAGTTCCTGCAAGGTGTTTGCTGCTATGGAAACGCCTTATATAGCGACCCATCATATTCCACAGATGCTCGATCGAATTTGAATCCGGAAACTGAGCATTCCAGAGGAAAATTTCTATTCCTTCTTCGTGAAGGAAGTTCTGCCAGATGTGGGCGATACGTTATCCTCCTGGAACATGATGTCAGGGTGTTCGTTTAGCATGGCAGTACAACAGGCTGTAAAATCTCGTGGATGTATCAACGTACATTTAAACTGCCAGGGATGACAACTAGAGGTGAGTTGTCTTTCTTAGCACCACAGAAGTCTGGGTTTTTTTGTGAAGTTGCGTTAAAGGAAAACGTCGTAAACATCGGTATGAGTGAGGATTAAAAGATGAAATTCGTCGGTACACAGTTCTCCGCAACACTATCTGCCTCAGAACTATCAGCCAGTCTACACCAATTGCAGCCGAAGAACGAAATCTATCTCTACGACTCATTTGTCTGAGGTGACGATCCTCACGTTCGTTAGTCGCTCGAGGAGTCCGCTTCCAGAACGATGATGTTGGTCATGTTCTTCAGACCACGCAGTCCATGCGCGAAGCATTGTTGAACGGTTTCAATTCAATCTTCGACCAATTTCACGAAAGGGAATACCTGCCTCGTGCAGGCCAACAATTCGCCCTCTTTCAAAGTCAGACAACTAAACCAATTTTAGGCTTTGTTAACAATCGATGGCATTTACTTTGTAATGTAATTTTTAACTTTCCTGTTACAGATTGTCTGTTTATAATTGAAGAAAGTCTCACGGCCATTCGTTATTTACATTTCATAAAAATGATCTTCCAATATTACTGGATGAGAGGATAAGAGATGTTCTTCTTAATGTACAACAACGAATGTGAATTCAGCACGATGGCGCACCTTAGGTCGACAAGTAACAGAATTTCTTAATCAAAATTATACAAATCGGTGGATTTGAAGAGGTTCAGCAGTTCCTTGGCCAGCAAGGTCACCAGACTTTAATCCCTTACATTACGTTTTATGGGGAAGACTGAAAATTTTAGGTTATGCAAAAAATATTGAAAACAGAGAACAACTAGTAGCTAGAATTATGGATGCCGCAAAAACTATTCGTGCTGATCCTGAGACTGTTAGCAGAGCTACCATTTCAATTCTAAGAAGAGCTATGAGACTATGTATACAGCAACTGGGTGAATATTTTGAGCAACTAATTCAATAAAGCTGTTTCTTTTTAAATGGTCTACTACTACTTATTATAATTTCAAATGCTTGTAGCTCGGTTACGTTAGCGTTTTGGGTGTATATTCATTAGACATTTTTGACTTGAAATCACCAAAGCAACACACTCCCAAGCTATGGCAATCACGTCGTGGAACACCCTGTATATCTTCTTTTTTTCTGATTTTGGCTCTGCATTTGGTGCTTAATTAAAAAGGCTTCATACCTAGCATTCGGTTTCCTTCAAAATTACGTTTTACAAAATGATTAAAGTAACTAAAGTTATTCTTATATTTTTATCTTCCTCGCTTGTTTTTCCTTCTTGTACAATGATCAACCATAAACACCAAATAAAACGACCAAGAACCTACAAAAATCTACATACTCACAAACACACACATACATTCATAGAATCCCACGCACTTTGGTCGTACCATAGCACAAAGTTATTCTCTTATGTGCGGTTTGGACGTCTAAAAACCAAACCCATCGGATCGTGTACGTTATTGGCCCCAGGTTGGGGCCCTGTAGACTACTCGGGGGTGGTATACGAGCATGGCCGTGGCCTTCGCCATAGATCAGGCTCGGTAATTACCCGGTTCATGGGGCGATCCTCGATTTATGACTTACACAGCTCGGTCGGGAGTCCACCGCCGGCACCCCATTTGTCGCGAACAATCGCGTCCAGCTGGCCGATTTCGCGCACCTCGAACCAGGTTGCCGCCGCCGAAGTGATTTGCGAGCAGAAAACAGATTTCCCCGACTTAACGCGCGACCCGGGATTACAGAAAAAGGACGCGTGGGGTATTAATTTATAGATGCAGGGCGAATAAATTTTAAAAAAAGTACCTAACAAATGAAATGTTTCAAAACCAATGTCGGCTTAACTAATTTTATCAACTTTGTTTTCAAAAATTTCTGTATACTCTCTTTTAACTTTTATTTGAAGTGATTCTAAAAATTATTATGTTTCTTTATAATAATTATTATTTTATCAGTTTTTATAAAAAAATAACTTTAAAATACCTCAAGTTACTTTATAGCTTTATCAAATTAATCATTTTTTTTTCGAAAGACATTGAGTAAACTTAGAAAACGCACCTGCGAGATCAAAGATAACATATCATGTACACCTGTAGACATTTCAAATTGAATAATAAAGTTTCCGATAAGTATATAAGGCGATCGTCCGTCTACTTTGCTTCAGTTTCCTTGTTGGTTTAGAAACGATCCAGGGCAAAATGCAAAAATACCTCGCACTTTTAGTTCTTGTTGGAATTAGCTGCGTTGCGGCTGAAACTCCAGTATATGAATGTAAGCAATTATATTATATACTTTTTTCAATGTTAATTAACCAATCAATTTAGGTGATAATGGTCTTCCGCTTCCTTCCTCAACCCAAGTCAACGATTGCGAAGAACTTCCATGTCCCTTAGTACAAGGTTCATTGGTTGAAGCACTGATTTCGTTCAAATCAGAAGTCTACACAGAAGTTTTAAGACCTGAAACGATTGCTTACGCTCTTGGAGTTGAAGTAAACTATCCTTTAGACGAACCTGATGGTTGCAAAGCTTTAGTTGATCGTTTCTGTCCAATCGATGAAGGAGAAACTGTTAAATACAAATTACAAATGCCAGTTTTGGATATTTTCCCAAAAGTAAGTATTATTTATAATTTTAATTATTATAAATATATATTCTTAAATGTCTTTCTTTTTTCAGATCAATTTATCTTTGAAATTCACCATGTTCGATGAGAACGACGATGGTATGGTTTGTTTCATGCTTGATGCTAAAGTTGTAGGTCCATCCAAATAATTTAAAGAAACCCTTTTGTTTGTATATTTTCTGTTAGTATTAATAAACATCTAAAACAAAGTCTGTGTATTATACCTATTGATGGGACGTTTGTTATTGAAAGTGAAAACATAAAAAATTATAGTTAAAATGTCATACTTAGCATTATTCAAGAATGACCTAGAAGTTTATTCGTAAAATTTAAGAAAATAACTAACGAACATTTAAATGGTAGAGCGGTACTGATTGTGAGATCAACAAATTAATTATAAATGGTCAAGAGAAAACAACAGTGTCAATGTACTTTAACTGGTTGAAAAAAATTTAATTTATAATTCGTCTGACTAGTTTCGCCTTATAGGCAGTTTCAGAGACTTCGTTAAAAGTCAAAAGTTACATCCAGCTCTTCAAAAAACATTTATAAGGTCGACAGATCATGTTGAAAAACATTTTATAACTCCGAAATATATTACAAAAATCCAAAATCCAATAATACTACAAATGGTTGATCTATGTCGTTGTTAAAAAAAAATCATTTAAAATTCTTTTAATTTTTTGTTTAACAACGACGTAGTTCATCCATTAAAATTTTAAGACGAACACGTTACAAATTAAAAATAGTTGAATTAGGTACTTAGTTGTTAAAGAAATGCTTTTAAAATACTTTAATTTTTTTTTAACAACGACGTAGTTCAACCATTTTTAATTTGTAACGTGTTCGTCTAAATAATTTTAAAGTTTTTCTGGATTTTTGTAATACATTTCGAAATTCTAAAATATTTTTCAATATGATCTGTCGATCTTCTAAATGTTTTTTAAAGAGCTGGATATAACTTTTAACTTTTAACGAAGTCTGTGAAGATGCCTATAAGGCGAAACTAGTCAGACGAATTATAAATAAAATTTTTTCAACCAGTTAAAGTACATTGAAACTATTGTTTTCTCTTGACCATTTATTTCTCTACTGGTAACATGGATTTAATCAATTTTAACTCGTAAAATTATTATATACTACAGTTGAAAAATACTCTCAAACCTCAGATTCTTGGTACTCATGGTAAAAGCCAAATATAGATATCATATTTTATATTTATCTTATATTTCGTACAGATGTAAAGCTATAAAGATTAACAATTATACTTTTAACTTCGTCTGATTAGCAAAATATTTACTAAAGTCCAATCAAGTTCTGACTCTGTGAAACTTCAAGATGATCTTAACTGTTTGCAAAATTACTTCACAAACAATTTTCTTGACTTAAATTATGAGAAATGCATACAATCATATAAACGTAATTAGCAGAAAAAGATACACCGTAGACTAATTGTATGACTACAAGTTTGGATAGGAGTGAATGTTTCTTCTAGCGTAAAGGATCTATGCATCGTTTTCAACTCTAAATTACTTTTCAATAGTCATTCGGAAAAATTATTCTCTAAAGCTAATAAGTTTTTACGTGTCATCAACAGAATTTCCAGATCTTTTACTGACATACAATGTATAAGGCATCCTTATAGATGGCCTAGGTCAATAGTGTACTAAATTATGCATCCGTTGTCTGGAATTCTATGTATGAGTATACTTTGTGTATTAGCCGCCTTGATTGATTGAAAGAGAAGATTTGCTTGGAATTTAGCAACAAAGTTAACCTAGTATACTGTTCGTATAAGCAAAGGTGCACCGTGTTCACTAAGGCATATTTTAATTCCGTTACATCGAATAATGAATCATTATTGTACTGTCGTGAATATTTTTATTTTGTCATTTATTACTTTTCGTAATATTATTTGTAAATCGAACGTGTGTCAATAATACTTCGAGATTTTGTAATTAATTTTGAATATCATTCCTGTTACGTTGTTAATCACTGCTCATTGTTATTTATAGATACTTTTAGTTTCCTAAAATTGTGAATTAAGTTCTTTTGAATTGTTATTCTTTGTTTTTGTATTGTTAGTGCATACTGTTGTGAGGATTACCTTGTCTGTATCCCGAATAACGTATAAATAAATAAGAAATACAAACATGTAATTGGAAATTGAAGCAAGGAGAAACACACATCATTGGGCTGTATCTCTGCATCACAATGCATTGGGTTTGCCGAGTGTAATGCGACAAGAAGAAGGAAAAGTGTGGTTAAGAAAGCAAAAGATGGTGTAATGGATGCGTAAACATCTAACAAAGATCCATTATATTGCCAGGTATTGACGATTTCATCTATGTTTGAAATGAATAATGTTATATCAGTGTAAAATGTACTGAAAATTTTAAACACGTTTTACTGTGTTTTCAAAATCAGTGCCACAAATATTCTCGCAACTACTGGACCGATCGTAATCAAACTAAGGTAATTATCGAATCCCTTTTTCGATACCAACCATAGTTCCCTTTTTTCGTTCTTTTGGAGACGAAAAAGTGCTTATTTTATTTCAATGACTGCCATAACCCGAAACAAATAATTTTTAAGTTCCGTGTCAATAAGTGCTATTATCAACTTTAAGAAACAAAGTTTTTTTAGTTTAAATAAAAAATGACAAAGGTACGCGTTGCACGAAAAACAGTTGTAACAATTTTACCGTTTGAAAATTTTTAACCAAATTTTCACACAATGTAGATAAAATGTAACCTTCTAAAGCTCTGGAAAGATTAAAAAATGCCTTTTGGTCCCAATCCTAATGAAGGAAAATTGCGAACCTGCACCTCCTCGAGGTAGAAGGCGGCTAACGTTATGGTAGGGACCAACAATCACCAAACAATCAAAATGGTTAGGTGCTTGCGTCTTGCTTCATCTCATAAGATACTGAGATACTAAGATACATCTCCATTCTGTATTCCTGGCTATGTGATATTTGCCCTATTACAATAAAATTTAATAAAGAATGCGTTTTTCCTGGCTATGAGATATATTCCAATAAATAGATGCTACTATTATGATTAAATCATAGATGGAATGTCATCTTTATTTATAAGAATTTTACTCAAGAAATTAAAGAACATGCTAGCTTTAAATGAAGACAATAGACAGAATTTTTAATTGATCTGATCATAGTTGAAAATGAAAATAGAAAAATGTTTATCATTTTTGTAGTGAATTTTCAGTATTTCTCTAACCTTATAATTTACACCACTGAAATTCGAAGTAAAATTTGTTAATTGACTTTTGTCTTTTATTTTCAAATTTTTGCTCTATTATTTTGAAAAAGGTTCTGTGTATGATTTCTCCACTTTAGTTTCGTGCGGAACGTTTTCGACTGTTCAGGTTGTTCGACCAATGGAAACGATTGTTTAGGTTAAGAGCGCTCTGAGCGAAAGGGTTTAAAATCTCAGACGGAAAGAAGAACAAGAGAGTTCCTTGGAGGTCAGTTAGTCAGAGTCAGTCAGTCTTGGAGTCCGAGACAGAGTTCAGAGAGAAGTTTTTAGTTATGAAGTTTTGATGAGAAGAACTGGATCGTCAGTCCTGGATCAATTGGGAGAGTTCCAGTTGTTGAGAGAAACAAAGAAGAGTTCAAGTTGGAGAAGAGGATTGAGTCGATCATGAAATGAAGTACAAGTTCTTAGGGTGGATTCCAGTGGAAAGGTTCAGACAAGAAGAGCCGAAACCAAAGAGGGAGCAGTAGGGTCGTTGGTCGAAAGAAGCCCGTTGCAACGATGAGATTTATAACTCTTTGTGAGTAATTTCATGTAATAATTGTACTAATTGCTTATGTTCCATTTTCTTTGGTATATTTTGTTTGATAAATTTTGTTTGGTACATTTTGTTTGATAAGTTCCGTTTGATAAATTTTGTTTTATTGTTTATTTTGTAATTTGTCCTGATAGTATTGATAATTAAAGTAAAGATTAAAAATTAAATTTTCTTTTATTTCCAAATCTTAAACCAAGTTAATAATTGCGTGACAAATTTCCATTTGTCGAAACGCATTGTACACCCACACGGGAAAGTAAGAGCCGCTCCTAACATAGACCTATTACCTATTACCTCCGGAGAGGGTTGTAGCTTACTTACAAGGGAAGTGTCAAAACTATTCCTCACCGATTTCATTGCAATTTGACACAGCGATAGTATGGGCCAAATAAAAGTTTACATATGTGTTTAAACATGTTAATAAAACCACTGGAGCGAGTAATAAGGGTTGAAAGTCGGTGCAAACGGTACACAGAATGTAAATAAACTTATGCACAAACCTTACCAATTTTGGAAAATTTAAGAAACAGAAACGACAGGGAGAAAATGAGTTCAAGATGATGAAAAGTGGTCTTGCAAATAATGAATGACAACTTGCATAAATCATTGCGGCACCTAAGAGAACATGCAAATTTCTGTTACATGTCATCGAATGTAAAAAACAAATAACTTTTTGTCGTATAAGTGCAATTTTTTTCAACATTTACAAGCAGGCAACGGTATCTGTCCACTTCAGTTCTTGACTGAATTTTCAGTCTTGGCATAAAATGACAACTTGCTCAATAACATTTTGTGGTGCAACAAAAGTCGTTTCCATATATTGCGTTTTCGGTGAAACTAGGTAAGACCCCTCAACGCCTCGTGTTAAATGCCAATGTTTCTGATCGTATTTGAAGAAGAATGAATAGTATTTTTTTACAAATATAGCCGTTTCTAAAATTAATAAAGATGGTAATGTTAAGACCTTATAATGTTCAAAAACTTGTTTACATGAACCTCTGGGTTTCAGTCCAAATACTGCCCAGAAACACTACTTTTGGGCTATGAACACGAGATCAACGTCCGCAGAGTGGGCCCAGAAGATTATACCATACCTCAGGCGTGATTCGACACGCGCGTAATACGCACTTAATGTCACATTTACAGTCACCAACCGGGAAAAAGTCCAAAGCGCATAACACGATTTATTTATCTTCATAGTAAGATCGTTGATATGTTGTTTCCATAAAAGCTGATAATCAATCTTAACTCTTCCACAACCTCTTCCTTGCAGGTAAGTTTTGTACCATTGAATATTAGATCTAATTCGGTTTTTTTTGTAGGCGTTCCTATTGTTATAACGTTTGTACTTTGTAAGTTTAGTTGTAACTTGTTATTTCAAAACCAAGTTTGCAGTTCACCTACACTGAGCTGAACCAATTCTGACATTTGTTCCTCAGTTTTTGTAATTAATACTGCAGTGGAGTCATCAGCAAAAAGGATTAGTAGATCCTCTATCACTTCTGGAAGATCATTGAAGTATAGGATAAAGAGGAAAGGTCCCAATATTGATCCTTGTGGGACGCCTCGCAGAAGCTTTATCCAATCTGATGTAACTTCAGCACCAGTTTGATCATGCGAGACCACCTGCTGTTCTCTTTCTGACAAGTAAGATCTGAACCAGTCCAGTGGAAGTCCTTGTATCTCTATAGCTTCCAACTACTTCAATAAAATGTCATGGTGGACACTGTCAAATGCTTTAGTTAGGTCCATCATTATACAACTGGTAAGATTATTGTTATTAATTCCAGTTTGAATTCGTTCTAATAACTGGAAAATTGCTCTGGTTACAGATCTGCCTTTTATATAATCGTTTTGGAACTGGTTAAATACTTGGTTCTTGGTAACGTAATTTTTTAGACTTTTCAGGACAAGCTTCTCAAAAACTTTTGCAATGTTAGGAATTAGTGCAATTGGCCTTTAATTTGTAAAATCTGATTTATTTCCTTTCTTATAAATCAGTTTATGACGCGGCTCAAGGGTTCTGCAATTTCATCAACGCACATTTTTTGGAACAGAGATTGGAATTTCATCATTAAGTCCGTATCGCTCTATATACATATAGTGCCTAACAACAATTTTTTTTCTCGAAATCCGTTAAGGGTTGCGATGTTTTGGCGGTCGATTTAAATCGCTAAAGGCACCTTCTAAATTATCCTAAAATTTCATCATTTCAGAAGTGTCCATAGGGGTCAAATTCACCCCCAAATAATAATAATATTTATTTCCATAAATGCCCAATGTACAGAAAACGTCACAAAAAAAAGATACATTGTATGTTTTACAAAGATTTCACAATTTCCTCTAAATCATGCTAAAATTTTATCAATTTAAGAAGTACTCATTGGGGTCAAATTCACCCCTCTTAGAACTGTATTCTATTATATGGTAGAATTTGTCTTAATTCGAAGGTGCCCATCAGGGTACAAACATCTCTTCTTCAGGAGTGGGGGTTGAAAAAATTTTTTTACCAAATGGGGATTGTAATCAGTTCTTGAGAGTAAGAGTGTCTTGTATGTGAAATTTGGTGACTCAAATTGTATTGGTTACGGAATTATGAATGTTTTAAATTTATGGTTGGGATTTATGGATAACTTCACACGTTATTTTGGCACATATTACTGTACCAAATTACAACGAAATCGGTGACACTCTCGTTGTTAGATTGTTTCTAAAAATTTTAGCACCATATTTTTAGGATTCATGAAATATTAAGGATAAAAAAATCTCAACATAAATAAGAAACATTTATTGTATTTTAGATAGTACAGCAGCTCTTCTATCCGAATTTTGAAACAAAGCTCGAATTAAATTCTTCAACTCCTCTCCTTTAAAATGCAAGGCTAAAGGTCCTTTTCCATCCGCCCAACGATCCGATATTTCTAATAAATTTGCACTTAATAAAAACGACAATTCATTTAATTTACGCCATAGATCAACGTGTACATAAACGTCTTTTTGATCAGCAAATAATTTAGGTCCTCTTGTAAAAATAACTTTTAAGACATCAACTAATTGATCTCCTGCATCTGAGTTAATATCTGTGTATTTTAAAACTGCATCAATTATAGTTTTGCATAAAAAGTTGAGGGTTATTCCAAGATTTTTGTTATAATCTGTATGAGATAAAACTTTATTCCATACGGTTCTTAATAATTCTTGTTGCCTTAAACATTGTCGTATTGATTTCTCAGTAATTGGTTCTAATTTTTCTAAACAAATAACATTAACTAATCCAGACTCATTCATAATTTGCTCCATTTGATTAATTTGTTGATTGATAAATTCATTAAACATTTGATGTCCTTTTGATCTCAAACTGTATATTTCAAATGAAAATAAATCTTGGTCAATATTTAAAATTGATTTCATCTTATTTCCATAAATTTCTTCGAATTTTATTATTTTATAAGAAATATAATTGCAATTATTTAGAAATAAGGCAACTTGTTGGGGGATTGTTTCTAAGAGTTTTTTGTGATGTTTTGAAACTGTATCACCGTAGATGCCAAAAATATTTGTTAAAGTTTCATATAATGGTTTTGCTGTGTTATAATCACTATTCACGATTTGTTTGAATATATTTTCAGTAAAATTTAATAAATCTATACAACACTTAGAAACCGATCTTTGATAAAACACATCAAGGTCAATTTTAAATGGATTATTTAAATCAACAGGTTCACCAACTTCAATCATATTATGAAGATCTTTCTTCATTAGTTCTTTTGCTATCCTCAAATAAGATTCACATTTCTTTTGAACATAAAGGTTATCAACATTTTTAACATGACTCGATAAATAGTGCATGTCATTGGAAAATAATCCACTTTCTATTAAAATCTTTTCAAGTTCTTCAACTTCTTTTATTATTAAGTGATAATTTTGTAATTCATCGGATGTGTTTGGAATTGTGTCATTTAAACAATTTTTTATAATTAATTCTGATAAATTATCTTTAATGTCATTTCCTATATATTGTAATGTTGAACCAATTTTTAGGGGAAAATTAAAATGTTTATCTAAAAAATCAATTACAATTTTTAAATTTTCAAATACAACTTTAAAGGTGCTTTTAGTTTCTGTTAAAACTTCTAATTGTAATGATTTTATAGTAACAGTTGATGTTTTGATATTAACAGAACAATTAATTAGCAAACAAAGGATTGATTCCCATAAAAATCTGGCGATATCATTTAATATTTGAATGTGATCATCATTTTCAGCATATGCTAACAATAATTCTTTTAATAAATTATCATTAATAATTGTAAATGAAACAATTTTCTCCTCACTTTTATACTCAATTGTTTCACAAATATCCTCATTCATTTTTGTAAACAATAGTTTTAATTTTGAACTGATATCGCTTTGAATGTTATCCACAATGTTTAAATTTTCAATCGATCTTAGAACATCCATCTCTTTCTCAATCTCCTTCATCAATTTAATAACATCCAAATACTTTTGATTCTCAAATAAAGTATCCACCTCTAAAAGAAACTCATGGATGCTAATTAAATGGTTCAATATATCAATTTCTTCTTTAGTTTCAACCAACGTTTTCTTGTAATTCACCACATCAATTTCAACCGTTTGTATCTGTTGTTTTGTTACATCAGTTATAGACTTCTCCAATTCAGATAAAGTAGCCGCTGCTGAAGTAATTTTCTTCTTAAAGTTTAGTCCTTGCCGCGCAGGAAACGTGTATTGCACGAAAACATCGTCCAAATAACCTAAAAATTCTTTTTTAATTTTTTCCACACTATGTTCTAAATCGGGGGTCTTTTTAATTATCGCATCTACGTCCATTTTATTCGCAGCAGATATCACTTCTCTTAAAAAACTCATTCTTTGTAAAATATAACCTTTATTTTTTTATGTTCAATAAATGACAGTTAACACAACAAGTTGACAGATAATTTAAAATATTCAAAGTACCAACTGTATAGATTGAGATAAAATTTAAAGATTAGATTTATTTTTCATTTTGTTTTATTAATATATTTTAAATATCTTTGATTAAGTTCATTATTTAATATAACAAATTTATTAAATATACGTAATGACTACTTTCTTTTACATAACTTTAACTCCTTTTTCTATGTTGCTCTCTTCTCATTGTTAGATGGCGCTACTTCGACTTCTACATGTCTCTTCTTTTCTAAAATTAAATATTTGTTGATTTTTTTGATCATTTTTCGTGCTAAACCGTTTCTTTATCATGTCTTCTTGTCTTTCCCTTATATCTATTCTACAGGGTTATTATAAATGATAGACCCATTTTTAAAGATGAATATTTATTAAAGTACAGATCCAAAATGAACAATCTTTATACCAATGGAAAGAGGAAGTTTCAAAGTTTTTTTGCAATACACTATAAATGTTCAATGTGTCCACCGTCCGCTGCACAGCAAACATCTATGCGATAGCCGTTACTGTTACTGTTACTGAGTGCACAGCATCTGTGATACGGTTCCGCAGATCTTCCTTAACATAACCCCATAAGAAGTAGTCACATAGAGTGAGATCAGGAGATCTCGGTGGCCAAAAGTGGAGAGTCAGGTCTTCATTTCCCCTGCGACCTATCCAGCGTTGAGAAAGGGCTGCATTCAAAAAGCCTCGTACATGAAGGTGCCAATGGGGCGGAGCTCCGTCCTGTTGGAAAATGAAGTCCTGTGAATCTTCCATAACTTTAGGAAACAACCATTGTTCCAACATATGCAGGTACGTAGTTCCAGTTACAGATCTTTCCGCAAAGAAAAATGGTCCATAAACGTTTGTACGAGATACGGCACAGAACACGTTTACTTTCGGTGAGTCTCTTTCGTGTTGCAATGTTGAATGTGGATTTTGCAAATCCCATATGCGAATATTATGTCTGTTGACTTTTCCACTAAGGTGGAAAGTCGCTTCATCACTAAAAATGATACGCTGCAGAAACGCGTCATCCTCCATCATTCCTAGCACATAACTACAAAATTCGAAACGCTTCTCTTTGTCATTATGGTTGAGAGCCTGCACAAGTTGTAATCGGTAAGGCTTGTACAGCAAACGCCGCCTCAGAAGTTTCCAGACTGTTGACTGGGATATTCCGAGTTCTCTACTAGCTCTATTGGTAGACTTTGTTGGACTGCGACCAAAACTTTCTTCAATACGTCTGACATGATCCTCAGATACACGCGGTCGACCTGTGCTTTTCCCTTTACACACACTTTCAGTTCGTAGAAATTGTGTAAACCAACGCTTAATGCTTTTTCTAGTTGGTGGTTCGATACCGAATTTTGTACGAAATGCCCGCTGCACTACAATTTGTGACTCACTGCTTGCGAACTCAAGAACGCAGAAAACCTTGTGCTCCACGGTAGCCATCTCACTCACTTTTGACGAAGACGTACATATTTATTGTTATAAGACAAAACGAATAATAAAATTATGTTTATTTGTCGCTATGATGCGATATACCGCAATCGCCTTCTTTTCTACTTAGTACTTTTACAGAGAGGAAACGAACGGATGCTGTCAGACGGTGGCCCATTGAACATTTATAATGTATTGCAAAAAAACTTTGAACTTTCCTCTTTCCATTGGTATAAAGATTGTTCATTTTGGATCTGTACTTTAATAAATATTCATCTGTAAAAATGGGTCCATCATTTATAATAACCCTGTATTTCTACAATAAGATGTTCCACAGACATCGATCATAAAGGCTCTTTCTGATACTTTTTCGTCTATCTTTCCTTTTTTCCATTCTGAATCAGATCTTAATTGTACATAAACTGATTATCCTATCATCACATCAAGTAGTTTTCTTGTTTTTCTATCGTGATACAATTTGTTGTGTTTCAATTTTTTCAGATATATCTTATATGATAATAGGTTTCTTCAATAGGTGATCTGTTTTTAGAGGTAAGCTACATCTAGTTTTTCTCGACATTAATCGTTGAACAGGACTTGTATTAATTTTATTTGGTGTATTTTTCCAATGAAGTAATGTCCAATAAATATCTTCATCGCTTTTCTTTATTAGATTTTTTGCAATTTTTGCTGCAGACTCTGCTTTCCCATTTCCTTATTGATGGTATGGTGATGATGGTAAAAGTTTAAATTCGTATTTTTTTTAAAAATCTTGCATTTGTTTGTTGACAAAATGTGTACCATTATCGGATATCACCAATTCAGAAACTCCACATCGACTAAATGATTCTTTCGTCTTCTCGATAACTGATATTATTGGACCTAAGTCTTTTAGAAAATATATTTAGAATAAAGAATAAAGAATAAATCAGAGTAATGATAACAATACACTTATATATATATATTCTGCTTTTCAAAAGAAATGAACCGGAGTAGGCGAAGAACTTTGAAATTATGTAGAATCAGTTAGTCCATGTAGACAAACAAATGATTAAATTTTGACGGTCATCTGCCACAGCTGATAGAAATTATCTGTCTGTTAGGTCCTGAAATTGTGTGTTGTTGAATAGTATTTTTCGGAGTAGTTCGCCGTTTGTTTCTGATTGTTGTCATTGCATTAGTAAAGTTAGTGTCTCAAAAATGCCACGAGTTCGAAGTCGTGCAAATTTGCACCATCTTAAGCCCTTCGAAAGAGGACGAATTATCGGGATGCATGAGGCTGGTTTAAGCTTTCGGGAAATTGGCCGACCTCACGCCACTATCAGACAGACTTGGATAGATTGGCAGGAATAACGCTTAGAAACCCGTTGTAGAGGCAGTGGACGTCCTAGAGTGACAGCAGCACGCGAAGATCGGCTGTTAAGGCGAAGTGCAATACAAGACCCAGTAGAACCAACGCGTGTTGTTGCAATCAATTGGATCAATTGGTCGCAGAGTGTCTATGAGTACGATTTATCGTCGAGTACGCACATTTGGGTTACGTTTGGGTCACGTTTGGGTGTAATGCTGTGGGGAGCAATACGCTACGGTGGCAGGTCTCCTTTAACATTCATTCAGGGCACCCAAAACGCGCGCCGTTACATTGACGCCATTCTGGAGCCCGTGTTAGTACCTTTCCTCCAAGACCTTCCAAAGCCCGTCTTCAAACACGATAATACGCGACCTCCTATTGCTCACGTAACGTTAGAGTTCCTAGCACAAAATAATGTTCTGCAATTGCCTTGGCCGGCAAGATCCCCGGACTTAAACACTATTGAACATGTCTGCGATATGATGGACAGAAAATTGCGTCGATTACCCCATCCTCCCAACACTTTAGAGGAATTACGTCAACAGCTACATGGTAGCCTGGAATGAGCTGCCCCAAGAGGCAATCGACCATCCGATTTCCAGCATGTCACGAAGGGTTACTGAATGTACTGAAGAGTACGCGGAGATGCAAGATGCAACACATTATTAACAATATTGTCATTTGTTTATGAAAATTTAATCACCATTTCTACGTAATTTTGAAGTTCTGCGTCTCCTCCTTCGGGGTGGTTCATTTCTTTTGAAACCCAGTGTATATACATACAAAATACGGGGTAGAATAGGACTACCGACTAGGGTCTTTCTGCCCGTGATTTTTGTAGGCGACGGCTTGTTTCAGTCTTCTCTGACAGCCAGGAGTTTTTGGAAGAGAAGAGGTGGATTGTTGAGAGGGTGCAGTAATCGAAGCAATATAAGCATGTGTTGGAAGGAGCTGGTAGGTAAATGTTATTGGGATTTATCGGACAAAGATTGAAGGCTGGTATGGGTGGGGGGGGGGTTAAAGAGGGGATTACGGGGGTTCTTAATTCGGGTGATGGATCGCAGTGCAGATCTTTCCGCCACTTCCAGATGGTACTTCGTTCTTCTTGGTGCGTCGCTTATGATCCATATTCTGTGATGAGCCTTGTAGATGTGTGAGGCAGATGAGGTAGAGGTTCCGCGACCACTGAACGAGAGGGATTTAAAGTGCTTGGCGCGTGTCTTTACTTTCATCTTCACCTTGGTTGCTTGAGTGGAAAACTTTAGCGTTCTGTCAACTGTTATGCCAAGATACTTGCAGGTTGAAGATTGCCGTTGATTGTATTGTCTTTGTGGGAGAGGGAGCGCTGGGTGACAGGAATGGGACAAAAAATTGTGTTTTTGTAGGATGAGTAGGATGCGCCATTTTCGGAGGCAATTTTCCGTTTCATTTATGGGCGTCTGCAGCTTACGGTTTACTGTGCGAGACCAATGTAGTGTCGTCGACATAAAGTATTGCGCATGTACTGAGATTAAAGGCGTCTGGGTTGTCGTTGTAAAGATCGTGGCAGAATAGATTGTATAGAGAAGCAGAGGTAGCCGAACCCTGAGGAAGGCCTTGCTGAGCGGAGAAGCTGTGGGAGAATTGGTTTTTCAACTTCACGATGGAGGAGCGATTCGATAGAAATTGATTTGTCAGGTTTAGAAGGTAGTATGTCGTATTTAGCCTATCCAGTTTAAATAGCAATCCTTTGTGCCACACTGAGTCGAAAGCCTTTCGGACTTCCAGAAACACGGCTGCGGACTTCAGTTTTTCAAAACGTGCCACCTGGAAGTTGGAAACCAGAATTCGATTACGGGAAGCAGCGAAATGCCCCATATCACTGCTTCCCGTAATTACCGCCCCGGTAGTTTGCTGGATCAGAAAGACAAGAAAAGTTAATTATTTTCCTGATAAAGCCGTGGATGTTAAGATCTAGACTTCTTAGCAGTTTTCTTGTAATGTTATCATAACCGGGAGCAGTATCACTTCCCTGTCCAAGAAAAGTAAAATATTCGTCTTTTAACATGAGAGCATCCTTGAGTGTCTCGAACGGTTTCAAAAATGTGGATTCGTACCAGTTGTCTATGTTTTTATTGTGGGGACAAAACGAAATATCTTCGGTAAAGGTGAATACACCTTCGAGGTAGTCAGCGTGTATGTTGACAATTTCTTCAGGGTTGGAGTGCACAC